AAACCCCCCCCCCAGGTCTTGAACTTACCGAAATTCCCTAGTGGGGGGGGCCTTCCGGAATTGTTAATATTGGAGGATAAACTGGGTGGAGGCCCCCCTGCTTTTTTGGAGATTTCGGAAGGGAGGTTCCAGAACACCACTTCCACGCCCCGCTACGGGAGACGGTGAGACGGTGGCGGGCAGAATGCGGTGCTGACAGCAGAAGCACGTTCCCCAATACATGTCCATCTTCTAAGGCTCAGCAAGGCGCATCTAACACGACAAAGGTAGGTACTCAAACGAGTGCCCAGCCGCCTTTTGGGGCAACAAAGCGCATGGTACCGGTACCTACACTGTCTCGCCCCTGGGGAAGCCGTCATCGCTCGAGTGTACTGCCAACTGCGCAGCCGGCAAGGCCCATGGTATCACCGACTCGCGCACTATACGCACATTCAAACTAGTGTAAGAGATCATGTAAGGAGACGGGCGGACGCCAGAACGGGAAGGAGTTCAATATGGGTAAATGCAGTAGTCCAAGATAAGAGTCTCCAGCCAACGCGTTTCGCTGTTGTCTATGTATGCTAATCAATAACCGTTGAAATGGAAGAATGGCAGCTCGACGAGAACGAGATCCATATGGTGTGCACGATCCTAACGTACAGTACAAGTACGTTTCCATCATCAGATAATCAGCAAATCGCATCCATCACGTGTCCCCAGACTCCACCCTCATGTCATCCATGTGCGATCCTCCGCCCCCTTGAAAGGCTGCAGCGACCCACAAAAGCGCCCCCAGTCAGGTTACCCATGCCAGTGCCCAACTCTAGGTACGGTAGGTACTCTTACTGTAGTTGTAGGTCAGCCAGCAAACGATCACAGATTCACAACATCCCCCTACCGGCACCTCCCCCTCACAAAACCCCCATAGCGATTCACACACAACAAGCATCCGGCCCCTCCGCGCACGACTCATTTTCAACGTGCGCATGTCAGACCAGTCACTTCCTTGCGCCTAATTGCTTCCGCAAACTATTGTCTGCTAGCCCTCCACGGGGACATACTCATGGCCGCTGATAGGTATGTACCGGTACCAGTGCCAGCGAACGGCTCGGCGAAATGGCCTGGCACACATGCAACGGCATGATTCAGCTCGCGCTGCTCATCATCACCTAAGAGCACGCCTTGCCGCAAACTTTACCCCCGAGAGACCGACCGTTGTTTCTTTCTTGCCGCAGCTGCTCGAGGCGAGATTACTGGCCGAAGTTGCTCCCCCGGATCTCCAGGGACGATGTTTGTCCTGGGGGCTTGGCCCAGGGCTAGAGACGACACTAATACCTACCTACTGTACCTACAGATTGTGTCTAGCTGGGTGCTAGTAGGTCTGTGAGATCACAAAAGTCTTTTGAGTTTCAAAGTATATCACTCTCAAACTAAGGTAGGAGGTTGAGCATGCAGTTGACTAATAGCATTTCTACGGCTTATACAAGGTGAATTAAAGGTGTCGGAAAATTACTCAGGCACAGACTAACACCTACCCACGCGCTACATGGGCGACCAGGGTGAAGATGTGTTACCTACAAAGCACCTACCATCATCTACCTGTTACAAAGTGCACCACGTTCGTCAAGCGGCACTTCACATCGCGGGTACTGTACCACCACCCACAACGCAATGCCGTGAATCAACGACGACAATAATCCATCCTTTCCCCAGGAAACCACACATATTTGCTTCTCCACAGACGGCTGGACGAGTTGACATTGGATTAATGATCTAACATCATGATGCTACGCTAAACGTTACAGATGAAAAGCAAACCAGGAAAGAGATGCCAGCAACACAACCTAGCGTGGTGCCTATACCGGTAGCGCATTCCTCTCATTAAGATGGCGAAATGCTACCTTCGCCTTCCGAACCCGATGCTTCGTTGCGAGCGGACTCAATGCCTTCATGACGACCAGCCACACCGCGAGAACAGGCAGTGTATAATGCAGCCTATTGACAGCGCCCACGCAAATGGATCATTGACAGCTCGTTGGGGTACAACC